AGATGTATGGTGTGTATATACCTGTTACATGTTTACAGGGGCTAGAAGAGACAATCATTAGAGGGATTTAGAGTGAAATAAGGGACATCGATTTGATTTTAAGATAGTGACAAAACAGTACCAAATAAAAATGGCAAAAAAAGCAAACCTTTTCAGTCTAATTACACTTTTACGTGATAAGTTTGTTTTGCATGTTACTTTACACTCTGGAAGGTTGTACTCCTAGCATTTTAGTCGTGTTCATTTACACACTCAGCAGGCTGTGTTAAAACAAGTTCCATCATGCACTTTTCATCCTCCTTATCAATTGATTCATGTTTACAAAACTTTCCAAGCGAGCTCGAGCTCTTGTTGTATGAGACATATTAAATAACAGCATCCAGAAGTTAGTGACAACAACTGGACAAAAATACCAATGTGAATTAATCGCTAGAATTAATGCTGCCAAATAGCCAAAATCATTTGTAACATTTATAAATTGTCATAACAAAGACTTATCCATAGTTTGATATTTACTTTTCTATATCTGCTTTTCTGAGCAATGTAGCCCTAATATTTTCTATAGGAACATGGTTATGAAGACCAGCTGCTGAATCTGGCATTACTCGGCCGTCCTGAAGACATGATGGAAGCAGCTCGCTACTACGAACAGAAACAAGGGTCTGAGGACAAGGCTGTCATGCTGTATCATAAGGTACATTGGATTGAAGAGTGACCGTGTGTTAGTTACTGATAGTGGCTAATTATAAAAACTCTGACCCAGAGAAAAAATATATATATTAGTGTAGTTTTTGATCTCCCATAGACAACATTTTCAGGTCAACAGTAGGAAATCTGTATGCATTAAAATCTCCACAAAATATTCGTTTGTTGATTCAAATTATGTATTATAGGATTAGTGGAATGTAATAATTAAAAGTAAATGTTTCCTTTTTCGACAAAAGAGTATTTCCATAAAAATGTTTTAAATTAATACTTTTTATGAATAACTTCCAAATGGCTTTGGATTTATTTAAGTAAATGTATTTAATTGATGAATTCCAGGCAGGAAACTTCTCCAAAGCATTGGATCTGTCCTTCCGATCCAAGCAGTTTGGAGCTTTGCAGATGATTTCTGGGGACTTGGACGAGCGAGCAGATCCTGAGTTATTGCAGAGATGTGGTGACTTTTTCATGGACAATGGTCAATATGATAAGGCTGTGGATCTCCTCGCCATCGGCAAAAAGGTGTGTTTCACTCGAGTGGGCAGTGCATGTAGATCATAGTTTTATGCACAACACAAGAGCCTGACTAAATCATTTATTATCCTGGAAAATACAAATGACAAAGACATCTGATCAAATACACAAAATACACTCCTATTCCTTCAAATAAGTTGTATGGTTCTCTTGGAGGCTACTCACTGTAGACAATAACATAAATATAATACAAAATATCCTAAAGAGAGAATATGATGTAACAGATATGTCTTTGATTCAGACTCAGCATGGGAACAAGAACTGGGAGAGATTGTACTTACATCTACATTTTGATTCTCAAACAAAGTATGCATAAATCACCCATAGAATTAAGCTCATTATTAGCAAGCTTGAATCTGGCCCATTTGTACTTGTTTCACACAATTACATAAAATACATTACTGAATAAATAGTCACGACATACTACTGCTTATTTCAGTACTGGGAAGCTCTGAAGATTTGTATGGACCAGCATGTGGAGATAACTGAAGACCTGGCCGAGAAACTCACTCCGAACAAGGACGACATGGGCATTGATACAATGGAGCGGGTAAAGATCCTGGAGGCCATCGCTGAGGTGTGCATGCATCAAGGCCAGTACCACCTCGCTACAAAGAAGTTTACTCAGGCTGGTAACAAGATCAAGGTCAGTGTTTAAGCTTCCATCATTTCTATGTATTTAGATTTGTCTTCACTTCTCCAAAACAGCTGCTGTATGTACAGTATAGTAGGTCTAAAACATGTCGTTTTATGGAGTGATGTTGGAAACTGGTATAATTGAACGTTCAAAATTCAAACAACCACCAAATACATTTAAAGATTTGATGATACAATTGATGGATATATCAACTTTGTTAAATTAAATGGTCTCTTTTGTTCTTGGTAACATTTGCAGTGTTTGCAATGTCACTTACTTACGTGGTGTATGTTTTAGGCTATGAAAGCGTTGCTGAAATCTGGAGACACCGAGAAGATTACGTTTTTTGCTGGTGTATCACGGCAGAAGGAGATTTATGTAATGGCCGCCAATTATCTTCAGTCTCTGGATTGGAGGAAAGACCCAGAAATCATGAAGAATATTATCGGCTTCTATACTAAAGGAAGAGCACTGGATTCTTTAGCAGCATTTTACGATGCTTGTGCTCAGGTAAGCAGGAATTTATATCCTGCCTTTTTGTATGGCACATATGGTGTCATCCATTTCTGTTCTGTCATGTCCTGTCCCATCCGAAGTTAGTGTCATTGCTCCAGGGACTTCCTAGCTATCCTATTATATATTAATCAGACTTATTTAAATCATCTAGTACATTTAAATACAAGGTCAAGTATGAGAACACATCAAATAGTTAATGTTTTAGCATTCCAAGGTCAGTGTTGCTATTTATAGAAAGTATTATACACATTTTGTTTTATCACTCAATAAAATATTTCATTTCTAAATGGTTTTTGATATAACTGTACACAATTTTTTTAACAAAACTTCATACAATGAATATGAAGGAAGACATGAATGTTTTGTGTCAGAAAATGTGTTGTATGGATTAGTTTTCCTTGAATGGAAAGAAGCTGGGATGTGCAAGTTTTTCAGGAATTGGAAAGTAGTAAACGTTACTTAACAACAAAACATTTATTTTTTTTTCAAACCAATTTTCTTAAGTCAGAGCTTATCCTAGTTCCAGTTACTGACTTCCAAAACATGCCTTTCCAGGAAAAATGTCATTCCCATATTTACTTCCCAATATGATGGTCTCATTTGCACAGCTGGCTGGTTCACACTAAAACAAGCAGGATAAAACATTTATCTTTATGGACACAACAAACAGGTTTGATAACTTAGTTAGCTGTGGAACTTTGCTCTTACCTTTTTTTCCATCTGAAAAAACCCCACTTTGGGATATAGCAGTCACGCAGCTGTAAGTCATGCTGATGCTAATTTCAGAAAAAAAATCACACAACGCTGATACTTGACCGAAGGAAGAGAAAGACCCCTTTTGATTTTGGGTCTTGTTTGTCAAAAGTGAAGGTCATTGTTAACCGGTACTAAAAAAAAAAAAA